TTTTTGAACGTTTTATGCGACGTGCAGCAAGTGTATGTTAGCTTATGTCCCGCCGGTTCATATGTACGCATCTAACCTAATCGTTCTGAATGAATCTCTTCCCAAATTGTCTCTCCCTAACATTTTCGTCTCGTTTTTATCCGTTGATGAAAATGTCAATAGATTTACGTCATAGTTTTTGTCATTCAAAAAGAGTTTTAGTTTGTTATCGTCTCGTTGTCGTTGGTGAAAAAAATGAAATTAAATTAAAGTCATCGAAATTAACACTATTTTCCTTATTTTTAAGAAAATGTGACATTTAAGTTTAGGGCTGAAGTGAAAGAAACTTCAATTTGGCCCAGCCAGTTGACTTTATCCCATCCATGTTGAGCTAAAAAAGGTCTTTCTTCTTCAGCCTTTCCAGTGGAGGCGGTGAAGCAGAACCCCAATGTGGCCATGCTCATCACCTGTCACGGCGGCCATATTGGCTTTCTGGAGGGTCTGTGGCCACGGCAGAGCACCTACATGGACCGAGTTTTTCGCCAGTTCACCAAGGCCGTGTTTGAGAACGGCAGCAGTCTAGATGATCTCCACTGACCTTCTCTTTCCATTCCCTCTACAGCCATGAGCAAAAAAATCTGTATACATTTCCAAAATGAAGGGCACAGGTTCACTTGAGGGCCAGGATTGTTTTTTTAGTCTGTTCATTTATTTATTTATTAATTTTAGTAGTTTTATTTGATTTGCATTCATGAAACAGAAATTCTTCTTTGGCTCGCACACGTTCCATCCGTTCATCCATTGCTGCACTTATTTGTTTCTTAATTGCATGTCTGTGTATGACTCTCTTAATTATGTATTTTTAAATATGACTAAACATCCACCTGGACCACTGAATCACTCACTAGGTGATATTACTCAACATGAATCCACATGAGAGAGAGAATGTCCAGAAAAACATAGTTTATAGCCCTGAAACCTATTGGGAGCATGTCCAGGTTCACCACTAAATCAAAATTAAAAAATGCGAATATATGTTTGCATAAAGAAAAATGAAGCTTAATTTTAGAAATACTACTTTTTGACATTATTCTCAAGAGTACATTTCCCCTTATCCTTTTAGCATATAATGCGTTATTAAATTACCATTAATTTCAAATAGTGCCATGATGTATACTTATAATAGCTTTGTTTTTAGAAAAAAAAAAAAAATATATATATATATATATATACATATATACATTACCGTGACCCTATGAGTCTGTAAGATCAAATCTTAAGTTAAGCATTAATTGCTTCCTCAGAAGCAATTTTTAAATAAAGAAAAAATTGTTTTTAAATTGTTAAAAATTGTCTTGCTCTGTTGATGTTTCTTTAAAGTATCTTAAATGTCTAAACTAACTAACCCCACTTTCTTTGTTTCCTGTTAGTTTTGTGTTTTTATGGCAAAAAAAAAGAAAAAAGATTGTATCATCACAGTTTTTATTTTTCATAAGAATGTACCGCATGCACTTTTTTCTCATTTATTACTGTTATATTGACATAGTTCAACATTAATCATATTTTTGGACTAGGAATGTGAAAATTGCACTAATTTGAGTTAAAGGCACTTAACCTGTGTAGCCCTGTAAGTAAAGTGTGTTTTCTTGAACCGGACAGACGTGGCTTCAAGGATTCTGTGAATGTGAAAATGACTTGAGCTACTGTTTGTCTAAACTAAAATATGCTTGCTTTGAATTGCTTTTTATATGATGGTGCCATTGAAATCCTACTAACAGCTACTTAAATGATCTAAAGAATGAGAGAAAAATAACAAAAACTGGAGCAATCATTAGTTATGTGAGAATGACAGGAATAGTGATGGCAGTGATTTTATGAGGAAGCTCTTTATAATAAACGATGTAACTATCTGTTCCCGGATATAATTGTATGTAGGGATTTTCATGGAGGAATGATATGATGTCCAGAACTAGACATTAGTTATTGAATATGAAACCGCCCAGCTATGTGTTGTATATTGACCTTTTCTGCTTTTATGACGGTGCTGCTTCATATTGCGCTTCTAACTGTCAGCCGCATTTGCTCCTGTAGACTTAAAAACGCTTTCCTCTCTGCTTCCCGTCCATCCTGTTCCTGAGAAGCATGTGTTCTAAGTGTCTCGAGTAAATGTACTGACATGCATCATATAACCTGTAGCACAACAGACATATTTTTCCATGAAGATTGTGTATTGAACATGTGCAGCAATAAGATTTGAATACAAGATCTATGTCTATGTAGATATGTATATATGCACATGTACTTGTATGGATTATAAGTGCATTTGTGGTCTTAAATAAATTATGGAATTCAACCGTAAAGTTTTTCTTTATAAATATATTAGTGATGTGGCAATTCTTAATTATTTGATGATTAATTCATTATGCCCTGTTGTAATCTGAATCTCACAGTCAAATATCAAATAATGAAATGCACTTTTCATGAATACAGTATAAAATAGACCTCGCAGGTACATTTTTATTCTTTTTTAACAGGTAGGGGAAAAAATGCAAAAGTTTACAGGGTTTAAATTTTTCTAAATTAATCTGTGACTGGATTAAATCTTGGTTTTTAGTTATTTATGAACATGAATTATAGAAAACTATTTGATTGCTCATTTTTCTCACAATAACTTGAGTAACAGAGCTGAATATTTGAGCTTGACTTGATATAGTCAAAACATCAATTTGTACAAAACCTAAGAAAATGAAATTATTTACTTAAGAATGGAAGGCAAGACACCCCATAACTAACAATAGATATTACCATACTTCCCCAGTTGATTGATTACATTAATGGCAAAAAAATATTTAAATACATAAATGTTTAAATATACAAATGAGGCATTATCTAAATAAATATGCAATAAGTTGTAAACATTTCCAGAACAGAAATCAGAACTTGTTTTATTTTGTTAAAATATTATTACAGAGGGGATTTTGGACTTGTTTTTATCATTCCATAAATCAGAAAATACTGTCAACAGCCATAAAAACAATATATTTTCACAGTGTTTTTAGGAATAAAAGGTTGTATAGAATCAGGGGTTATATGAACAAACCCCTCTGTAAAAAGCTTCAGAAAATACAGTAGATTGGAATAAAACTGAAGTGTGGATAAGATAGATAAATTGCATTTTGGATGTTTTCTTTCCACCAGTCTGAAACAACATGTTATGAGAAGTCAAATAGCCCAAGATCCCAACACTGACCAGTGCATGAAAGTACAATGTTTTTGCCTGTAGTGTCTCGCCTCAATCACAAATATGCCGTCTGAACAGCTGTGAGCATAACTCGCATATCTACATCCGTGCTGATAAACTTCAGATGAGCTCCATACAGACATTGTTTGTTTGGAGGAACTTTGACCCACATTCCCTACCAAGTCCTTTTCTGTTTTAAATCTCATCCAGAGAAGACAGACTGCTAAACTCATGAATGTATAGCATATCTAGCAGTCTGCTACAGCCTAATTATACAAATCTAGCCAGATGGAGAAGTCATTACCAAGAAGATGAGTGTGACATTAACATTATCAATATATCTTTGGTTAATATGTTGTTCCTCAGAGTGTTTATGTACAGCATAATGTTTCACTGAAAGTAAACAAGTGGAAATGTACAATTGTACTACTATGTTTTTGGACTTGTTCTTTGGAAATATACCATAATATTCTTTGAATTACCTTGAATAAAGCAAACCCTGTTGAAAAAACCAGCATATGCTGGTTAGGTATGTTTTGACGCTGGGATGCTGGTTTATCTTCAATTCTTTTTACTTTTACTGCATATATTTTAGCCTTTTATTATTAGCCAGTATGTCTGTTTCTAACAGAGCATATGTTTGCATCTCAGATGTACCAAAGTGAGGAAACTGTGTGAATTTGTGTGTGTTTAGGCATGAAAGTAGGGCATCTGGGCTCTTCTGACTATAATAGGATGTACCAATGCATCAAAACACCGCCTGCCAGATTTATTTTGGACTCTGTGTTTCACACTTCACCCGAGCGCTTCACTCGAAAACCACATAAAAACCACCCACAGGCTTTCACCCTTGACAGTCATCATGAGGATATCTTGACAAGCTGAGTGGACTGATAAAGTGTCACACTGCTTTAATAGGGTTAAAGTTCACTACTTCTCTTGGGTTGAACCGTGGTGTGATTTTATACAGAATTCTACATTATTGAGGACAGAGGTGACTGCATACAAGGTTCATAGTTGGTTGATGATTGGTGGTTTCACTCAGCAAATAAGCACAGCAAACATATAAGACTGTCTTATGGAAACAGGACATTATAAATGTGTCAGAACAGTTTATAGATAAAACAGTAAATAGATAAAAACAGTATAATAGTATAGCATTTTGCTCGAGTGCGAAAGATTTCCCAAAGCCGATCTTTCTTTCTCTTTCTTTCTTTCAATATACAGACAGTAACAGTAAACAAAGATAAATAATGATAAATTAAATAAAATTCGTTACACAGACTTAGCAGGGGGTTCAAACTTGTCACACGGATTTGCCATGTTGACCTACAGAAAGCTGCTTGGGTTGAAATTTACTTCTCTGTGAGATGCTCTTCATACATCTCTATGCTACCGACAAGCGATAGAGTTTTTTTCTGCGAAATTTCGCCAAAAGCCCTCCTCGTTACCTCGTGAAATTTCGAATAAGTTTTGTTAGGGTGACAATTTTCCCAGATAGCACAGGTACGTCTGCAAGATGTCTGTTAAAGACGGATTTGCCATGTTGACCTACAGAAAGCTGCTTGGGTTGAAATTTACTTCTCTGTGAGATGCTCTTCATACATCTCTATGCTACCGACAAGCGATAGAGTTTTTTTCTGCGAAATTTCGCCAAAAGCCCTCCTCGTTACCTCGTGAAATTTCAAATAAGTTTTGTTAGGGTGACAATTTTCCCAGTCCTATAGATGTACTGCAGATGAGCAAACACTCTAAAAAATACGTCTCACAGATGTAATACAGACGTCAAATAGATGTCTCCGTGATGTATGTGTGCAATAAGGGTTTGCTTTGCCACTTAAGACAATTACAAACACAGTTGAATCAACCATTGCGTTCTCCGAGTATCAAATATTAATGACGTTTTGTTCCCAAGTTAGTGTTTTTGAATGAATCAGTTGAGTGAATGATTCCAGCGTCAAAACATACCTAACCAGCATATGCTGTTTTTTTCAAGAGGGAAGAACCATGGTATTACCATCTGATTCCAGTACTTTAGCATAGCACAGTCATAGTACTTATTTGTAATAAACAATTATCTTCAATTCTTTTTACTTTTACTGCATATATTTTAGCCTTTTATTATTAGCCAGTATGTCTGTTTCTAACAGAGCATATGTTTGCATCTCAGATGTACCAAAGTGAGGAAACTGTGTGAATTTGTGTGTGTTTAGGCATGAAAGTAGGGCATCTGGGCTCTTCTGACTATAATAGGATGTACCAATGCATCAAAACACCGCCTGCCAGATTTATTTTGGACTCTGTGTTTCACACTTCACCCGAGCGCTTCACTCGAAAACCACATAAAAACCACCCACAGGCTTTCACCCTTGACAGTCATCATGAGGATATCTTGACAAGCTGAGTGGACTGATAAAGTGTCACACTGCTTTAATAGGGTTAAAGTTCACTACTTCTCTTGGGTTGAACCGTGGTGTGATTTTATACAGAATTCTACATTATTGAGGACAGAGGTGACTGCATACAAGGTTCATAGTTGGTTGATGATTGGTGGTTTCACTCAGCAAATAAGCACAGCAAACATATAAGACTGTCTTTAAAAGAAAAATCTATAATTTTGACCCATACAATGTTTTTTTGGCTATTGCTACAAATATACCCCAGCGACTTAAGAATTTGGTAGAGTTCTTGGAATGCCGCTCATCCAATCAAATTTGAGAGACAAACTCAGGTTTATTTAGAAATTCTATTTTGTCATTTGAAGAAGCCATTATGTGAGGGTGAGAAGGTCACGTGATTAGTAATTTCTAATACATCATCTGTAATTAGTTTCAAGTGTGCAAAGCTTTTGTTGATGAATTCATGGACTTGACCTAGCAAAGCATTCCTGATATTTCAATGATCATCAGTCCAAGAAGCTTTTTCAATAAATAAAACAATCCCTCAAAAAAGGGATCCATTTGTTCTAAT